AGTATAATGGAGTATCTCCCTCTACAGCAGTTGTGAGGATTGAGAGGGATCATCTAGCCACAGTACTTAGCAGTCAGCACATAGTCAATGATCAACCAATGTTATTCCAGGGATGGCCTGAAAGCAGAGGCACTTGATAGGAGTGCATATAGCAGTCCAGGAGAGAGAGCCCGCCTGCTTGACCCAACCCTTCCTGAAATCCAGCCCTGCCACCAAGACCTGATTCAATTGTAACATCTCCCTGAAGCCCTCCTGGTCTTCCCAGGTGTGTGTGATTGCCACAGTCTCTGGAGGTCCTGAGGCTTTGTATTTCCTCCCGGACCCACCACATCCTACCAAGAGAGCTCACCTCATCATCTTCTGCATTTGTCTAGATAGGAGTCATTTTTAACACATATCTCTACCTTCCACTTTACCCAGTGGAACTCATTGTGTATTTTGGGACATTTGGCAACAAGTGTAATGAGTTGAACTCATCAGGGGCAGGGAGAGTTGCAAAGACATGTTCCCTGGACAATCAGCAAATGAAGCAGGGTTTTGGCAATTCCCCAGGTCACTGGAGCTATGTAGACATCCCCATGAGAAACTTCAGGCCACCTCACTGCTGTAGTTTGTACCAATGTCCCTTTGACATTGGTACAATTTTTCTTCTCCCACATTTCTCTACAAAAATAGCCTTCTAGTTCACAAGCCTTAGTCTACTCCTGGCAAAATTCCTGACCAGAAACTGCCAAGGAGGGCTGGAACCACTCAATTTGGCTGCCTGGACATGGGTCCAGTGAACTGTAGAAGGACTCAATGATAGCAAAGTCACATGGAACCCATACGATCGTCTCTGTGGCTCTGGGAAAGCCTGCCAGTGTCACTCAGGACTATCTGGTGCTATTTTGACAGTAGCAAGGATGTATCCTCATGTACCCTTGAGGATGTACCTTCTTTTTAGAGTTCACCAGTGTTCTTTACAAATCTATTTATTTAGAGCTTTTCAATTAGTGACTCAACATATATTTGTTGAGTTCCTGCTCCGTGCCTGGTATTATTCTGGTGATTAGAATATGAAACACACAAAGTTCATGTGTTCAAGGTGCTTTCATTCTGATGGAGTGGGAAGAAAGTAAATGTCAGGTGGCCATAGGCTTTATGAAGGCAAAGAAAACAGGCTGTCTTCTTATCTATTGATATATAACAAATCACTGCAAATCCTAGTGGCTTAAAACAACACCTTATTATTTCTCTTGAATCGGTGGCTTAGCAGGGCTCCACCAGGTGGTTCTTCTGCTGGAAACTCCCACTCTCTGGGCTCACGCAGAAGGCTGTGTCCTTTGGAGGTTCACAGAGGGCTAGGGGGATCCAAGACAGTGTTATGAAGTGCCCCCCAAAAGCTCCTGTGTTGATTCAGGAATGTTCAGAGGTAAACGATGACATCAGGAGAGCTGTAACCTCATCAGTTCATTCCTAGTTTGAAGGGACTAACTGGGTGGCAATTGTAGGCACGTGGGGCATGGCTGGAGGAGATGGGTTCACGGGGGCTGGCCTTGAAAGGGTTCATCTTCCCCATGGCCCCTTCCTCTTTCACTCTCTCTGCTTCTTGGATGCCAAGAATGGAGACCATATTCTTCCATCACACCCTGCCACCATGATGTTCTGCCTCATCTTGGGTCCAGAGAAATGGACTCAGCAGACTGTAGAACTAACTCTCTGAAACTGTGAGCTCAAAGTAAACTTTTCCTCCTCTAAGTTGTTCTTCTCAGATATTTTGGCCACAGTGACAAAAAGCTGAAAACAGAGACAAGCTCACTCACATGTCTGGGGCCTGGCTGCTGGCTGGGGCCTGGTCCTCTCTCTCCGCATGGCTCTCACCATGCAAGAATCCAACCTGGATTTCACTGTGTGGTAGTGGGAGCATTTCCAGATTGAGGCTCTTGTGACTTAGGACCAGGTCACACCGTGTCAATTCCACCTCACTCTTTCAGTGAATGCCATTCACAAGACCAGTCCAGTCTTCAGGTAGATGCCACCTTTTGATAGAAATAGGCATAAAGAAAAGGAATAGCAAGTAACAGATGTGTTATTTGAAATAAAATGATCAAAGAAGGCCTCTCTGATGAAGCAGAATTTCAACATAGACCTGAGTGAAGTGAGGAATAAATCATACAAATATCTAGATGGAAAGCATTCTAGGCAGATGGAAAAACTAGCCAAGGCTCTGGGGCAGAATAATGTAATTCTTTTTTCAGTCAGGGGGTAGTACTGAGGATTGAACCCAGGAACACTTTACCACTAAGCTACATCCCCAGACCTTTTAATTTTTTATTTTGAGACAGGGTCTTGCTATGTTGCTAAATTGCTAAGGCTGGCCTTGAATTTGTGATTCTCCTGCCTCAGCCTCCTGAGTCACTGGGAATAAAAGCATATACCACCAAACCCAGTCAGAATAATATAATTCTTTGCAATTGAGAAAACAATTCAATAGCAAGGCTTTTTGTGTGTGTGCACATGTATGGTGGTGGGGGTTAAACACAGGACCTCATGCATGCTAGGCAAACATTGTACCATCAAGCCATATCTCCAGCTCTATATTAAGGCTCTTAAATGGAGATATGTCCATGTTACTTATGGAAAATACAGTTCTCATGTGACTGGAAAATTCCTAATGCAGCTGAGCCAAGATAAAAGAAAACACTTTATTTTAATTTATTTTATTTTTGGTACCAGGGATTGAACTCAGGGCACTTAACCACTGAGCCACATCCCCAGCCCTTTTTATTTTTTATTTTGAGACAGGGTCTCACTAAGTTGCTTAGGGCCTCACTAAATTGCTGAGGCTGGCTTTAAACTCATGATCCTCCTGCCTCAGTCTCCCAAGCTGCTGGGATTACAGGTACCACTATGCCCGGCACAGGACACCTGATTTTAAAACACTGAGATGTGAAAATGAATCATTTATGTAATTTAAGAGTAAAAAGTGCCCATCTCCTTCATCTTTGCTACCTCCATCCTCAGTTCTCCTGATGTGATGGACCAGGCATCCTTTGCAGCCCCTGGTAGAACTCCAGGAACCCCAGAGTTTGAATAGTACGCCCTGCTTCCAACCCCAGTACCTCCAGTTTCAGTCTAAGTGCTTTGCACATGCCCTGACCTCAGCTGGACCCCAGTCTTGCCTTTGCACAGCCTGTGGGAGCGTCTCTGGAAGCTAATCTACATTTGACACATGGGAGGCAAGGGTGTCTGGTTTGCTAAAGGAGGGAGCAGAGCAGAGTAGAAGGGGTTTTATGCTATAATTACCCAGGATCACCAGGGCAGTCTGAGGGTAATCGGGTAATTAGTGTGTGTATGGAGGGGGACAATTATCTAGCTCTCTGGCTGCTAGATGCTTGTCACTGCTCCTCTGGCCCTTGGGCTGGGTTCCTGGCTCTACCTGTGGACTATTTAGTGTAATGGCCCTGTCATGCAGAGGAGCCTGCCATTATCTCTATGTTAACATGATATTTATCACAAAACCCTGCCAAGTGTCACTCTGTAATTAAAGGACCTCCACATGGTTCCCCTGCCCTGGCACCAGTCAGCCATTAACATTGTCAGGAAAGGGGCAGCTTTAAAAGGCTGAGAAGATGGGCCCAGGTCCCCCTGAGAGGCTCCAGAGGGACACTCGAACTGACCCTCCACGTGTATACCATTGCCAAGCCTGGAACTGTGCAAGTCAGGACTTCAGAGGCATCAAGATCCCAAATCAGGCACATTTCCACACGGGGCTGAGCAAAGCTCCTGCCTGTGGGGGCTGCTTCTGTTTGTCATGAGCGGTTCGAAATCTTTTCTGATAAAAATAAAAATTTCCCTGTGCCTCTCCCATCTCTCCTGCCTTTCTGCCCTGTCCACCACTCCACAGGGCACCAACACAGAGGCCCCTTGAAAGAGTGAAAGGAACGAAGCCAGGATCACGTTAGGGTCAATATTTGGCTCCTGTTGCCTAAAGAATGCTTTCATGAGCCTCTTTATACAGGGCTATAGATTTTTCTGTGGGACAAATTCTGAGACTGACATCCTGAGTTTGGATCATCTTTTAATTTGAAAAACATGTTGGTAAATTGTTTCTAAAAACAAACAAAAAAAAATTGCACGCGTTTAAATTCCCACTTACAGTTTATGAGAAAGCTTATTTCCCCACATCCTTGCCAACTTGGGTTGCCACCCCTTTTAAGAACTACCGTCATTGTTTTCTGATTATGCATGTGATATGTATTCATTGTAGAAAAAAAATGAAAAAGGGTTAGAGAAAATAAAGAATAGCTGTTATTATGCAAAGATTTAAAAACACTGTCCATTTTGGTAGAAGACAACAACAGAGACTACGGCCAAAGCAGTCACCTGAGAAACTTTCTGGAATCAAGAAAGGAGCAATGTGTTGAAGATCACCTCATTCGCTGGGCATACCTTTAAATCCCAGCTACTCTGGAGGCTGAGGAGGATCACAAGTTCAAGATCCGCCTTGGCAAACTTAGCAAGTCCTTCCCCCCATTTCAAAATGAATGAATGAATAAATAAATAAAAGAAAAAGGTTTGCGGTGCACCTCAATGGTGGAGCGCCACTGGGTTCAATCCCCAATAACACACACACACACACACACACACACACACACACACACACACACACATCACCCCATTTTTCCTGCCACCTCCTCTCATATCTCCAAAGTCATGAGATACTTTCTGCAGCTTATGGAGACTATTCTGAGAAGGTGGTTCCAGGTATCCACACCCCTAAAGTGTGTCCCCCACTCCAAACGGTTCTGCTGCCAGGAAGGCTCCAAGCCTGAGGATTCGTGGAGTAGGAACGGAGTGCAAACATTCCAAAAATATGTTTCCAGACATTGGCAGCTTTATTCAACAGATTGGAAAACCCATCTCTCTGGTCAACCCCAGAGCCAAGTTTCCATTTCTCTGGGACCCTGACATGCCCTGTTAAGCCTCTGTGCTAATGATGGCTCTGCTTTCCGTTCCAGAGACCTGAATTATAACGAGCTGCAGGAGTTCCCCGTGGCCATCCGGACCTTGGGCAGACTACAGGAACTGTAAGCTCCTCTGCTGGTTTCAGCGGGTGTCTCCTTCCAAGGGCAGGGGTTGCAGCCAGCCAGGACCTTGCTCATACCCTTGCCTCCTCGCCTCCCCTGGTCCTTGTTAAATCTGTGGCCACTGGCCCTGCTGATTCCCAGCATAGCTCTAAGCGGTCACAGGCCTCCTTAACTTGGCTTTGAGCATCTCCTGGGGGTGTGTCATCAGCCTAAATAGCCCTGGATCCTTCCAGCCTAGGAAGACACATGGCATGAGCCACCTCCTATGTAGTCTGGGCCTGGCACTGTCCCTGCCTTGGTTGGGATGTGTCCAGAGACGAAGGAGGAGAGGCACCGGGGGGCCCATTTACAGGATTGCTACTCATCACCTTGTCTCTAAGAGGACTGAGAAATTCCCTCTGGTTCCCACAGTCACACTTCATTATTCTATTTGAGCATTCACTGAGCACCACCGGGCCCAGATCTGCACTTAGTGCTAAACAAAGAGCAAGGTAGACATGGGCCTTCCTCAAGGACCCTTCAGCCTTCCACAACACAAAGGAACACGTGGAAAGCAGAACCGGGCAAAGCAGCATGACTCTAACCCGAAATCGAGCAGTGTTCACTAAAATGACCACAGGAGACAGAAAGGTCACGTGAACTGGGCCATCCTGAGATTGGTCTTAAAGGATGAGTGGGGTTCCAGAGAAGTTGCTGCCTCATTTCAGACAGCAGAACAGTGCAGGCAGACGAGCTGGCAAAGGGATGACCACTGGAGGGAAGCCTGCCTTGCTGGAAGGGGGGCTCTCAGGACCTGAGAGGTCTAGTGTACAGCTGGGCCGGAGTCAGATTAAGGGCCTGAAATGAGCCCCAGACCTTCAGGCAGAACAGCATCTTCATATTTCAAACAGCCACCTAAGGCCAATAGGACCAGCCCATGCCACCTTCCTCATTTCTTCCAGAAATTTAAAGATGTGAATGCCAAGTGTATGCAGCAGATAAACAATGGCTGAACCAGCCAGAGGAAAGCGTCTGAGGCACTATTGGAAGTCCTCTATTGCCAATGAAGGAATTATTTCCAAAGGAGGGCTGATCATTTCCCCATTTTTCCTAACACATGAAAGAAGGATGATGCTTGATCAATCAAGGGGGCATGGAAGAAACAGGATGTGCCAAGGCCTAGGGAAGTCCCTGAGCATTAGGGAAGAGAGAGCAGACACTAAGTTAGCAGGAGCAAGAAAATACATGTACATGGGGTGTGAGTGTGTATGTGTCTATCCATCCATCTCTATCCATCTTTGTATCTATCCATACAGATCTATTTATCTATATCTATCCATCCATCCATCTGTATCTACCCATCCATCCATCTATATCTATCTCTTGTCTAACTATCTGTATCTATCTCTACCAATCTTTATTTATCCATCCATCCATTCAAACATTCAACACCCATTTCCTTCTATCCATCCATGTCTATCTCTCATCTATCTGGATCATCTCTTTCTCTCCATCTATGATCACTTATCCATCTCTGCCTACCTACCTATCATCCACTGGTGAAGGCTACTTGAGAACAGTGATACTGCTTATAAACTTCTTGATCCTTCAAAGCTTGGTCCAGTACAAAACACAAAGGAGGTATTAAAAAAATATATATATATATGTTTATGTGTGTGTGTGTATGTATAATGTATAAAGTGTCTATGTGTGTATATATGTGTGTGTATATATGTATATATAAAAAATGAGTGAATAGAAGGAATGAATGAAGTAACAAATAGGACTTGGTGGGTGACATTGGCCTGAGGTGTCCAAGGTAAACTTTTGAGCGAGAGCGCAAAGGTGAAAGCTACGGTAGGAGAGCAGGAGGGGAGAGGCTCAGGTGAACGAGAGGATGACTACAAGGGCCTGCTCAGCATGGCTGTGCGGTTTTCAGTATAACATGTGACTTCTTGGGAAATGTTCTTCCCAACTCACCAAACCCATAGTTCCTGGCTTCCGAACCCCAGACCCTCAGCTGGGTGCCTCATTCCTCACCTCCCCATGATGCCGCGCCTGGTCATTCAACCCCTGACTCTGTCCCTTGTCCCTCCTGCTGCTACAGGCGCTTCTATATTTCCTCATTTTAGGGCACTGAGGCCAAGTCAGCCTCCATTCGAGAGACATCCCCTGCCCTGGCTTTCTGCATCCCTGTTTTCCTTCCACAGCCCCTTGGCTTCCTCTGTGGGGACTCACCAGAGCTCCTGACATAAGTGATCCGGGAGAGGGCTCCCCTTTGGGACAGTACTCAGGGTCTTGGCCTTGGCATGCTCTCATGGGCTTCCAGAGGCCTGCGGCTTGGGACTCCTCCCCTCACTCTCCTCCCACCATCAGGGGAAAGGATGGATGTGCTGTTGAACCAAGAAAATTTACAGGCAGGATTTGAACCTGGGGCCTCCGGGTTGATGTCTCTTTGGTCTCGCAGTCTGTATAATCATCAGGAAGCTCCAGGGAGTCCCATTTTCTCCCTCTCCATACTTTTCCCCAAGTCCTCACTGCTCCTGGGCGCTGTCTTCCAGGGGGTTCCACAACAATAACATCAAGGCTATCCCTGAAAAGGCCTTCATGGGCAACCCTCTGCTGCAGACAATGTGAGTACTGCCTCTCTGTCTCTAGGTGCTGAGAGTGTTGGTGCAGGGGGAGGACAGAGGCTGGGGAGGGCGAGGGCCATTCTTAGAAAGCAGCAGGGGAGCAGGACTAAGGGAGAGGGCTAGCCTTCTTCTTTGTCCCTTTCCTGGGAGGAGAAGGTAGCAGAGGTCACCCTTGGTCCCAACTGAAAGGGGTAGAAACTGAATTAGGTGCTTGGGTCTTTTTCTTCCAGACACTTTTATGATAACCCAATCCAGTTTGTGGGAAGGTCAGCATTCCAGTACCTGCCTAAACTGCACACGCTGTAAGTTGGCATCCGAAGGCTGCCGCAGCCAGGGCCTCTCCCACCCTCACTCCTTCTTGCTCTCTCCTGCCTTTGGCCTGCAGATCTCTCATCTGCAAGGCACAGTCCTACTGGGAGACGTGCTTCTCAGGGCTGTAGGCCTCCAGGTCTTTCGCCCTATTTCCAGATCTAGCTAGACTTAATGTTCTCCCTTCTCTTTCATGACCCATGGCTTCTTTCCATTTTATAGAAGGAATGTGGGGCTCACAGGTACTGATTGGACATGAGCCCCCAACCCTTAACTTCTGATCCTGGGCCCATTGCTGCCTCCTCAGGGTCTTTGATGAATTTTTTTGGTGCACTTGTGTGCAGGAAAAAGTGGAGAGGGAGACCCAGCAGTCTAAAGCAGCCTAAGAACCAAGAGATTCAAATAAAGCCACAGCAGATGGCAGGACAGGGGAGACCCTTTCTCAGGCTCTATAAGAAACAAACTCCAAGAGTCAAAGACTTTTCCAGAAACACTCAAGAGGTTGCCTTTTAAACGGAGGCAACTGCCTGTGGATTTTTGCTGTTGCTTTGTTGTAAGTTGGGGCCTAAGAGCTGAAATTGATCAGCTCAATCTGGGCTGAGGTGGGCTGAGTCAATTTTAGAAAAATGACTGGCTGGGTTCACACCTGTAATCCCGGCGACTCAGGAGGCTGAGGCAGGAGAGCTGCAAGTTCCAGGTCAGCCTGGGCAACTTAGTAAGATCCTGTCTAACAATAGTAATAATAATAATAACAATAATAATAATAATAATAAAGATCTGGGGATGTAGCCTTAGTGGTAGAGCACTTGTCAAGTATGTGTGGGTTCAATCCTCAGCACGACCAAAAAAATAGCAAGGGGCAAGAAAATGGCCAGTTGGACCCTGCTAAGTATGGTTCAGCCACTGTCAGGGCCAGAGAGGCTGATTTGAGGGAGGCTGGGGAAAGATGACATTTTCCCAAAAGGTAGAGTCTCTGAATGGGGAGAAGACTGAGGGTTGAGATTCCCCAAAGCTGAGGCGCCCTGACTCACCCCTTAGCACTTGTCATCTCTGTTTCCAGGTCCCTGAATGGCGCCACGGACATCCAGGAGTTCCCGGACCTCAAAGGCACCAGCAGCCTGGAGGTCCTGTGAGTGGATCCTCTCTTGCCTCCTCCTGCTCTGCCTCCCCAGCTTCACTCCCAGGAGTTCTTGCCTGCCTCCTGTCCCTGGGGGGCAGGGTCCCTGGCCTGCCTCTGCTCCTGGTGCTGTCCAGGGTCGATGGCCATCTCTATGTGCACTGCCTCCAGGCCAGGCAGGGGTGGCAGGACTGGGCTGAGGCGGCTGGTTTTCCCTGACTTCAGAGGTTCTAACCCCAGGCCCTGGGTGCAGAGGACTCCGGACCCAGAGCAGAGTTGTGAAAACCCACCTCCCGTGTCTTTCTGAGGCTTGATTCTAACAAAGACTTTCTCAGATCACCCATGACTACATTCTGTGGTGTGGGGAAGGGGTGTCAGTGCATAGTAGGCCCTCTGAACCGTTTAAATGAATGAATGAAACAATCAGGCAAACACCCAGGGTGATTGTTAGAAAGTGAACTCCCCGCCCCACATCACACAGCTTATTCATGACATTTGGAGACTGGAATGCTTCTCTGTGTCTCTATTGTCTTCCCCCTAGATTTGCTGGCATGTGGGAATTTTTTTCACGAGGGAAATAATAGTTCCCCAAGGATGACCTTGGCCTTGGATCTTTACTGGGACACCCTGTGCCCAAGCCAAGCCCATTCTCCAATCTGTCTCCACTACTCTCTCCACCCTGGCCCCTGGGTCCTTCCCTCTTTCTCATCTCTTCTCCCTCCCGCAAGGCATAGGGAGGGAACTCTATGCTTCATTCCCAGGGTTCGACTAGAACTTTTTTCTCTCTATTCCCTGTCATGGCCATTCTTCTTCTCTTGAGCCTCTAGAGTACATAAGATTTAGTCCCTGTCCTACAGGCTTAGTTGCTGGAGACCATTAGGATGCCCAGGAAGGGGATCAGATGGGATGGGTGGGTGGGGCTGAGCCTGCAGGGACTGTCTGTCAAGCAGAGCCCTTGGGCTGGGTCTCTTTCTCCCTCTCTCCACTTCCCACCCCTAGTTCCTCCAGGCCTAGAGGAGTTTGGCACTCAGATGCCATGGCCTGCTCCTTTCTGTCCCTGGAACCCCGCCCCTGCCCTGTCTCTCCCACCACTTCTTTCTTTTGTCAGCTCTGTCCTCCCACGACAATATCAGGTCCAGAGCTGGAGAACCACGGCTGGGAATGGCAGGGCCCTGGGCCTGGTGCCAGCTCTGTCTCTGTTCTCCCTGCAGGACCCTGACCCGCGCAGGCATCCGGCTGCTCCCACCGGAAATGTGCCAGCAACTGCCCAGGCTCCGAGTCCTGTGAGTAGCTCACAAGCATTCCACTGTCTTGGCATCATGCACCTTCCCCCATGTCCCAGCAAAGGCCTCCCCTGCCTCCTTATGTCCCACTGGGTCACATCTTTCTGGAGAGGGGGCAGCTTAGGTTCCTTCTGAGAACCTGCCCCAGAGAGCCTGGGTTGTCCTGTTGTTCAGTATAAAGACGATGGTTTTTGGAGTCAGACCTGGGTTGTTTGAGGCCCAGCTCCGCCCCTCATTGGCTGCATTAATTGGAGTCACCCTTTAATTTCTCTGAACTGCAATCTTTTATCTGTAAAAGGAGTACAGTTGTAAGCATTGAAAAATATGTGTTAAGTACCTAGCATACCATAGGTGCTCAATAAAAGGCATCATTACTCGAATTTATACAAGAGAGTTCATTCCTTTTGGGAGTGTGAAGATACCTAAGTGACCTATAAAGTAAGTCAAGGGTTTTTTGTTTGTTTGTTTGTTTTTTCCCCTCTCTCTTTCTTGGCTCCAACTTAAATCTGAGACTCTTCACCAGGGTACATAGATCCACAGCTCAGGAAGGGTATGCTGACACACAGGTGTCCTGAGATGTGAGTTCCAGAGCCAGTCTTGCCACTCTCCAGTGGTGTGTCCCTGGACAGATTCTGTTCTAAGGTTCTGGGCCTCATGTTCCTCATCTGGTAGGTGAAGGCACTAAGCCAGCTGTTCCCTTAGGGCCCCAACTCTGATCTTCCCTACCGACACTATAAACAGTGGCTTTAGGTACTATGGACTTCAGGTGGCACAGACAGGTTTGCTCAGTGGTGCCCAGGTTCCCTTTGGCTGTCTCGGTGTCCTGCTTCCCACTCAGCCTCTCTCCTCAGGTCCTCTCTCCACAGCCCTCTCCCCTCCTGCTCCACTTCCCCAGGATGCCTCCGGGGTTCTTCTGGTGGATACTGCCCTATTGAGAAAAATACCAGGAAGGTATTTATAAGCCCAGTGAGGACCAGGGCTCAGCAAGGGGACATGAAGAGAGGTCTAACTGAGGAGGCTGGTATCCTCCACTACAGTGTTCCTATAGGGTCCCTATGACCTTTGACTACTTGACAAGAAAGCACAGCCCTGGCCAGAGCTCCTTCCCCTGCCCTCACATAGCCACTGCTTTGCCCCAGCCCTGGCCTTTCTCTCTTCCCCAGGGAGCTGTCTCACAATCAAATTGAGGAGCTGCCCAGTCTGCGCAGGTGTGAGAAGTTGGAGGAAATGTGAGTTTGGGGGCTGAGGGAGACAAAGGCAAGCCAGACTTGACAGGTCTGAGGGCTGGATCAGCCAGGGGCGAATCAGGCTCAGAATTTTCTCCCTTCTCTGAGTTTGTTGAACAAAAGCATTAGGGATGAGAGCCTGGGAGAGGACTGGATATGGCCCCTAGGACTCACAGCAGATGACAGACCCAGGAGCTGGAACCCTAAAGGAGTCTCAAGGTGGCTCCTTATGAGTCAACAGCAACATAAATACAGCAGAAGATGAGGGCCAGGGCTTTGGCTCAGGAGTGAAATGCTTGCCTAGCATGTGTGAGGCCTGGGTTCAATCCCCAGCACTGGGGAAAATTAAAAAAAAAAAAAAAAGAAGAAGAAGCTAGAAAGTAAAACTCAGTAGTGATAAGAAAAAGGCCACATTAGGGCCTGGGTGGGCTGGATGTGGGAAGGGTTCAGAGGAGCTGGAAGCACCCTGCATTTTGGAGTGTGCACACACTCATTTCCACATGCCCATAAACATACACGCACACACACACACACACACACACACACACACACTCTCACACTCTCCAACATCCCCCTCTCTGCCTCCCGGATTCAAGTTTCACAAGGAAAAACATCACTTTAAAAAATTCTCTAAGCCCTATTCACCCAGCTCCTGTTTTCTCAAACTAATATGGCATCCTAGGCCTCTGAGCATCTATATTTTGCAGGGCACTCCTTTGTAGAGCCCGGGTTAGAAAATGTGTAAGGGTCTGTCCTGTTTGTCTGTGGCTCTTTGACATTGCTGAGGCCCAGGATCCATCTCACCAGTTTAGTGAGCTCTGCTTCCTGGCTCAGGCCAGTCTGTTGGGCTGTCCAAGGTCTGGGCGGTGCTCTGCCGCTGGGCTGGGATCTGGAGGACCCATGGCAGTGGGGGAGTGAGGGGCAGTTCAGCTGGGCTGGGAGCCAGGCCCGGTGGGAACATTGGAAGCTGACTCCCTTTTGGGCCACAGGGATGGTTTTGTGGCTTTGTCTCCTGACCCACTTACCCAAGGCAACCGGATCCCCTTGTGCTCCCTTTAATTCTGGTGACATCCGCGGGCTGGGCCCTTTCTTCCTGTGCCAGGAGAAGTGGGGGGCTCTTCTTTCTTCTTCCCAGTGCTCAGGGGGCGTGGATCAGAGCCAGAGTCTAAGCCCAGAGGCTCATCCAACCTCTCTTGCTGCCCTAGCGGCCTCCAACACAACCGAATATGGGAAATCGGAGCTGACACCTTCAGCCAGCTGAGCTCCTTACAAGCCTTGTGAGTACCTGCAGCACCCAGGGGTGGGCCCTGGAGGAGCCAATGCCAGGCTCATACCCATAGCACATGTGATCAGTGTCCACATATGTGACATGCACGGACTTCCTGTTCCACCGCCCCTACCCCCATCACACACAGAGGACAAGAAGTACTTCCCCCGACAGATGGTACTCAGGGGCCATGTGGCTCTAGAACCAAGCTGCTATGTCCCTGTTTCTGATGCCACAACCAGGCTGGGAGTTGGACAGCAGCAGGTATCTTCCCCCAAAGGCTAAGGTCACTGCAACTGGAGGGAGGTCAGATGGGAGGAAGAGCCCAGGTGCGAACAATGAGAACTCCACATGCCACCATCCTCTCCTATCACACTCTTTGTCCACAGGGACCTAAGCTGGAATGCCATCAGATCCATCCACCCAGAAGCCTTCTCAACGCTGCGCTCCCTGGTCAAGCTGTAAGTGCCCACTCACTCTTCTCTAGGATGCTAGGGACCAATTGGAACTGTGGGATGTCCAGTGGGGGTAGGAGAAACACCCCTGATTAGGGACATGCATTAAAGTTTGACCACACAGGCCAGGGAGATGGGCTCCAGCCTAATCAATCATTCTGACAGTCCGTTTGACACACTGTGGGGCCTGATAAACAGAATCCACCTCTTGCAAGCTCCAGAACATCATCTGCTAATGTTCTGCAACATTTTGGCAGCCTCAGTCCTCCCCCGTCCCCCTGTCCCATCCCCCACTCCACCTCCAGCCTTTCGATGCTCTACATGCACCAGTAAAGGGGGTGTATGGGCCTGGAACTCTTCAACACGAGAGGGTGGTGGCTGTTGGTGGACCCAGGGTCTCAGAGAGCTCAGGGGTCCTGCTTGACATTACTCTAAAGGCTGCCATTCTGCAGAACAGCCGGGGACCAGAGGTCTGCTAATTTATATAGAATGTAAATAGGGAGCTTGTAGGTTTGGCCACGTGGCCTTCATTTCAGGGGCTGCCACACGCTGTGGTACAGGTTATTGGCTGCACCAGGGATCCTCCTGATCTCCTACCTCCCTGTTTTCCAAGTCGAGTGTCCCAAAGGCAGGCCGGCCCCAGGGGGTTCTTTTCTAATAACACAGAGACCCCTTTGGGCTAGCTCCAGCCCTGGCTGCAGAGCCCCAGGCCCTCATGTCACAGGTGACATCTCCAAGGTCCAGAGGGAGAGGCTCAGAGCCGAGGACAGAGCCCAGGACTCCCAGGCTGCAGTCTCTCCCCAGGCTGTGGCTCTCTGGGCTCTGGGCTTTGACCTTGCAAAACTCTCACCTCCGTCTTCCCTCTCCTGTTTGCTGTACTCCTGCCAGATAGGTAGGGCAGATATTTTTGTCCTTTGAAAGATGAGGACATTGGAACTCAGGCAGATTTGTGACTCCCTTTGGTTACACAGGGAGTTGGTGACAGTGCCAGGTTTCCTGCCTTCCAGTCCAGGGCTATTTCCACCACGCACCGTCTGTGGTGGTGGTGTTTGCTTTGGAGCTTCGGCTTCCTCTCATGCATCTCCAGTGGAGGACCATGTACGTCCTCAGCTCTGGCTCCAGAAGGCACCGTAGGGCTGGATAGATGACCCAATCCTCACGGTATCCAGATGCCCAGCTCTGTCCTATCCCCAACTCTGGCCTCTGTAGCATCAGAATAGCAGAGGAAAGAAAGGAGGAGGAAGCCAACTGCAGACAGATCCCCTAGGGGGATGGGCAGGGATTCCTGGATGGGAATCAGACCTGGATACAGGAGCTGTGTCTGAGGGGCTCTGTTACCTCTAAATTGGGACAGCTTGGCATTAAGTGGTACATAGCTGGCACTTGGTGTTTGTTGAATGACCGAATGAATGAATACGTTGTGGATGGTGCCTCTGGCAACTCTTGACCACACTCCTCCCCGGCGTGTAATGCCGTCTTCTCTCTGTGCTCATCTTCTGTCCTTTGCTCCTCTCCTCTTGCTTCCATCCCAGGCACACTGGCCACACCCTCTGCACAGCCCTGCCCCCTCAGCAATCCCACTGACTGCCAATAACCCTGCCATCCACTGTCCTAGGGACCTGACAGACAACCAGCTGACCACACTGCCTCTGGCTGGGCTTGGGGGCCTGATGCATCTGAAGCTCAAAGGGAACCTGGCTCTGTCTCAGGCCTTCTCCAAGGACAGTTTCCCAAGACTGAGGTGAGGGCCTGGCTTTTCCCCCCACATCTGGGTATGTTTGCCCGGGGTCTGCTGGAGGCCAGGGAGGGACAGGGAGAAAGCCATGGGACCTCACCCCAAGAAGAGCCTATGGCTTGGAGTGTGTCTGAGACTGCATGGGAAGGCTCCCTGGGCCTCCTGGGAGTCTGGTCCCATACATGCCTCCTCTTCCTCTTCATCTCTTTGTAGCATTTTCCCCACCCCAGGTACCACTCCTAGGGAACACTGGAACATTCGAGGGTGGTAGTAAGCGGGGTTGAAGGCCCCTGGACCTCCTCGCTGTGCCTGGTTCCACAGAGCCAGGCTGTCCGTCAGCACATTGGCAGCATCTGGGTCCCTGGAATCAGGGCAGAGCCCAGGGCATGATGAGTGGAAAACAAACTGCACAGCCCGTCCCTGGTGTTAATGACATCCAGGCCTCCTCCGTGCAGCGGCAGCAGCAGTGCAGCCTGTGTGGCCCAAGCCTTGTCTACTATAAACTAATGAAGTGCCCAAGGCATTTGCCCTCACCCTCCAAGGACACCCTATCCAGCTCTGATGTGCCTACAGGGGAAGGCGAGGGTCTGGGTCTCACAGAGGGCAAGGGTAGAGCATCCCTAGGAGAATCCCTGCTTCCTGCAATATGAAAGAAGAGCCGCAGCCTAGGCTGGGGAGCAGAGCACTGCAAATGCTGTGTGACCTTGGGGAAGTTGCTTCCTACTCTGAGTCTGCTAAGAGTCCTCCTTCAATAAAGGGCAGACATTTCTCTCCCCATCTCAGTTCTGAGGATGAATGAGGAAAAGACTGGCATGTGCCCAGAGCCCCTCAGAGTCAGGGTGCAAGATTCTTAACAAATCAAATCCTCGAGGCTGCTGGCATATTGAGTAGGACACTTTGTGGTTGAAGGGCAGGTACTTAGTCCCCAGTTCTTGGGCTGGGGAATCTCTTAACTCAGGATTAATGTCTTAGACTCCAAACATAATGAGGCAGCCCCTCTCCCATCCTCAGGATTCTGGAGGTGCCCTATGCCTACCAGTGCTGTGCCTATGGGGTCTGTGCCAGCTTCTTCAAACCCTCTGGGCAGTGGCAGGCTGAGGACTTCCACCTGGAGGAGGAGGAGCCTCCAAGGAGGACCCAGAGCCTCCTTACTGGACAAGCAGAGAATCACTGTGAGTGACGGGGGGCGCCTGGACTGGCGGGTGGGAGCTGTAGAGAGGAAGTTAGGGAGGAGGCTTGGGGGGCCTGGAAGGGAATCTAAGAGGGGCAGCCGAGGGAGGCCTGGGGGTGGCTGCTAGTGACCTGGAAGGAACTCTCCCTCTGTTTGCACCTGACTCTCTAATGCAACACCCCAAAGGTACTTAGGGGAGACATAATGATGGTAACAATGGTAACAGTAACATCTCAACAGGTTCCTCCTTTGCGATTCACAAAGTACCTCACAGGTGCTGTCTCTGTTAGTATCCTGCCCTTGGAGCTCACATATCTCTTTGTGGTTGCCTTCTCTGACACATGGGCCCTTCAGCCTCAGGGCATTCTAGGAGAAAACAGACCTGAACCCAGTAGGATTGAATTAAATCAATTGAATTAAACCTGCTTCCAGAAAAAAAAAAAATCCGGACACAATATGTCCTACAACCAAAAGGAACATTGTAGAAATTATTCTTCTCCAAGGGTATCCTGCACCTCCCATCTCCTGTGAGTCTGAAAGCGAGACTTCAATGGTCACTATACACAAGAGGGTTTCCCTGAGATCTGTCCTGGGCCAGATCTATTTCTGGAAGAGTTGGGGTGAAAGGGAAAGATTGGGGTGGACAGCCAGGGCTTCTGAGGAACTGTGCACTAAGAGGTGTCTTGGTTGAAGGGCAGAGAGCAGTGCTCCCCCACCCCCTGCCATGTTACTGAACACAAGAAGAACTGGGAGAGAGAGAAACAAGTCCTGCTTCTTGCATTCCTTTTTCCATCTTGAGCTTCCTCTCTGTACTCTCTCAATGGAGAAGTTGAACTGAAAAATTAAATCTAAGTATGTAAGAAAAACATCTCATAATGGGGTAAACAGAATTAGGTCTAAACCCAACTATAGCTTTCACCAGTTGGGTTGCCTTAGATAAGTTGTTTCATCTTACTGACACTCCATTTTCTTGTCTTTAAATGAGAAAGATAGCTGGGACCAGTGGCACATACCTGTAATCCCAGCTACTTGGAGGCTGAGGCAGGAGGATCTCAAGTTCGAAGGCAGTCTCAGCAATTTAGAGACCCCTTCAGCAACTGACTGAGACCCTGTCCCCAAATACAAAAATAAAAAGGGTTGGGAATGTAGCTCAGTGGTAAAAACACCCCTGGGCTCCCAAGCACCAATAAAATAAAAATGAAGGAGAAATATAATACATTTCTCAAAGGCTGTTGGGAGGCTTGAAAGAGTCCATATAAGGTGAAGTGGGGTTTACCACTGCTGCTGCTGAGAACTTGGATCTCCTTCTGGCATGGGGACAGTTTAGTAGTGTAGCTCAGGATATAGCCATGGAGGCTGAACCTTGAGTGGGCAGTCTGGGGGTTTCTGAGACCCTCACTCCCAGTCCACCAAAGCCCCTCCTAGGGAGGGCACAAGGACCTGACAAGCAGGTTCACAGGTCCCAGCAGCTGTCTGAGCCAGCAGACAGCTGTCCCCAGGGGACATTCCCGGATGTCTGCTATACACTCCCTCAGGGGGCTGGAAGGAGGAATGGAAACTTTCCTTCCTCAAGGTGAAACTTTCCACCGGGGCTTAAGTCTTGGAGAACCACAGGGCGTCGAGCTCGTGGGCTGCCTGCCGCCTGTAATGGGAGCTAGGGCAGGGCCCCCCACTTCCTGTGGGAGCAAACGAGCCTCGAGTAGGAAAGCCAGGAGCCCTGCTCCAGCCAGATTCGATTTCCTCCTTGTTTGAAGAGTGGTTACTTAACACCTTGGCCATGACTTTCCCAGCCTCAGACAGAGTCCATTGATTTCACCCCTTGTGTTTCATTCATACATTTTGATTTCAAAGAATTGCTAAGCCCCATTCTGGAGGGGCAGGGAGGGAATGAAAGGTAGAGAAGGAAGGAAATGCCAGGACTCTGTGGGCACGCCTCAGCCTACCCACCCTAATGCTGTCCCAGGCCAAGGCCACAAGTCTTCCAGCCTCCTGGGAAAACTACCAACTGAAGGTGTTTACTCTTTAAGTGGGGAAGAAGAACCCACACAGGAAATAGACCTTCGAGCCAAAGATGGGCACAAGTGCAACAGAGTCACCTATCCATTCCCTTATGATGAAGAGTCCGTAAGGACTGTCTTTTAAACCTGAAGAATGTACAGGTGCCTTTAAAAGACAAGCAGCTCTTTCTTGCCAGTTGGATCCTCAGGTACTTTTCCAAGTGTGACTTCAGAAACTTATATTTTATTCTTTAAAAAGTCTTTCATTGATGGATTGTGTTTATAAAAGAAAGTTGTGTCTTTATAGTTAGAAGCTATTTCAGAGAGCTATTTCAAAGTTCTTATAGAATTTTGAGACCCTGAGATGTCTGATCCCCTAGAGTCCACAGATCCTGGTTAAGAAATATTGCAATAGGGCTGGGGGTGTGGCTCAAGGACCTGCATTTGATCCCCACCACTGCAAACAAAACAGAAAACCCACCCAAGATCCAAAAACACCCCCCAAACTGCAATAGTAAATAAGAAAAAAGAAAAATCTCATTTCATTCAAAGATGCTACAGAATTTCTCCAATGATGGATTTACCTTTCCATCTCTGTTTTATCCTACTAACCTAGAATTGTAGAACTGTGGCTTAGAATTGGAAGGAACATTAATGATTATGTAGTCCAAACTCTGACTCAGGGTAGAAGTGCATCCTCTCACACTGGGAACTTTCTAGTTCAATAACTCCAGTGATAAATAAGGTCTAGCTTATGCATCTGTAAACCTCCCCCCACCTTCCCACTCCCCAATCCCTCCAAACAATCCATCTCTCCATGATTGTTGAACATCTGGGCTCTGTAATCAGACAAACCTGGATTTGTATTCTGGTCTGTCATCACTAGCCAGAGGAAGCCACTTTATTTCAGTGAGCCTCAGTTTCTTTATCTGACACCTGCCTCATGTGGCTACTGTGAAGGTTAAGGAATCTATGACAACGAGGACAACTCAAGGAATGTTAACCCTTGTTGAAAAGTAAATCCATCAGTTGACACAGGGCCTTGTAGCATGACAGTTTGTCTCCTCATTTGTCTCCATAAGCCCCTCGTGAGCAGGACCATCTTTTATTCATTCCTGAATTCCTCTGCACTTCCAGTTCTTAAATGTAGTTGGCATCATATTCAGAACACATGGGTCCACTGTGCACCTGCTAAAGAGCTAGAACATCTTCATTTGAACCATACTTTGCCTCCTTCTATATAATCCATCGACTGATGTTGGTTCTACCCTCTGGGACAGAACAGCATGTAGAAGTGTAACCCCTTTATATCAACAGGCTTTTAGCTCTTAGACAGCCATTATATCCCCACCTACTCTTGCCTTCTCCAAGCCAACCATCCCCCAGCTACTTTATTTCTCACACAAATGACTTCTGCTCCCCCACTATCCCTGGCTCATCTCTGAACACACTGCAGCTCACAGAGGTCCTCCTTCATGTTTATTGTTTGCCACTGGACATGGAATTACAATGACCTCCTGACCAGAGTGGAGAACAGTATGATCCCTAGCTCCCATTATTAGGGCAGCTACGGCCCGAATTCTAAGTACTCGTGAACTACAGCTGATTGGAGAGGACAGGCGAGGGCTGAGAACAGAAAGAACAGGACTAATCATAACATTTGGTGTTCAGAACCCGCAATGGACATGATCCATATGTGAATAATAGGAAGCCGACCAAATATTTACACTCAAGGGTAGAAGCAGATGTTCAGAGCCGCTGGATGACCAGGACTGAACAGTTAATCAGCGACACATCTACTTAAAGGGGTAGAGGTTAGGAGAAAGGTGGAACGGTGACATCAAGGTCCAGGCCTGAGCCACATTTTCATCTCCTCTCTCAGATGACCTGGACCTGGATGAGCTCCAACTGGAGATGGAGGACTCCAAGCCACACCACAGTGTCCAGTGTAGCCCTATTCCAGGTGAGATCAGTGGCCTGGGAATGGAGAAGGGGCACCCACCCACCTAGAGAGAGGCTGGTTCAGGTGGCCCATCTGTAGCTAAGCGTCAGGCATGGTCTTTGCCTGATTCCCATCTTAGGGGAAGGAAAGCTTCTTCTCATTATTCCTGAGGAAGGAGGTTGTTCTGTCCCTTGGGTGGCTACTATTACATGGGGAATGTCAGAATGAGGGTGGAGGGGTGACAGGCAGTCAAGCAACCTCTGCAAAACAGTTATTTAGAGGTTATGTTCTCATGGAGGACAGAAGCAAGAAAGAATGCCTTGAACCCCCTGCTCAGGGGACATGGGGCTGCTTCTGAGCTCTCGCTCAATCTAAAAACCATCTCACAGAATACTAGAGTCACGTGGGACTAAGTCACCTTCTCCAGTCCTCACTGCTCCATCCCAGCAAGATCACAGTTTCTTTACTAAAATCCTCCATGGTGCAAAATCTCCAGTGTTCCTGGATAATTCCTACACCAGTACTGTCTCACCTTTACCGCAGAGGAAGCCTCGCCTGGAGTCATCCAACCCAAAGCCATTTTTTTAAAAAAATGTATTATCTCTTTTTAAAAATACCTTTATTCGTTCACTCATTCATTCATTTTATTCATTTATTTTTATTCGGTGCTGAGGATCAAACCCAGAGCCTCACACGTGTGAGGCAAGCACTCTACCTCTGAGCCATAGCCCCAAAGAAAGAAAGAAAATTCTTTCTCCTCAGTACAATTTAGCCTAAGATGTTGAGAGTGAAAAAGTCCCTTCCCTGTGTATAAAATGTTAACCAACAATGCTAGAAGGCAGCAGCAGTCTGCCGCTCAGGCCAGGAACTTTTATTCAGAATGAACAGAAAGTGATGAAGAGCTGGCTTTTCCTCTTTCATCCCACCTCCATTTTCCAGGCTTCAATTTTTAGTTCAGATCTCTTAACCTCTCCCTTCCCCTTTCTAAACCCTGGAGCGCTGGCCTGACCTTGCCTAACACCAGCTCTCAGCACTTAGTGATAATAGCACGCTCCCTAGCGCCAGCTCAGAGCCAGAGCACTGACCCAACCTAGAGGAAGCAGGTGTTTTTTTTTTCACTTGGAAATCTATGTGCTTTTTTTTTTTTTTTAAATTCAAACTGCCACAGAAATATCACCTCTGAAAACCAGTAACCAACAGGGATGAGGTAAAAGAGGAAGTTTCCAAAAACAAGGTTTAACTTAAACTTGCTTTTAAAATAGCTCATAAAAATGGTCAAATAAATTATGGTACATCATATGGTGGAGTATTTATGACACAGCCATTGAGATATGGTTTTGCAAAATATAAGGATATGGAAAAAGTGTGCACACATCACAAAATTTAACTTAAAGAGAATAAAAATCTCTATTCAGTCAAATCCCAACTTAGTTAAAAAATCCGCATGTATATGTACATTTTAGAAGAAATTCTGTAAGGAAACATGCCAAAATAATGACTTCTCTCTAAGAAGTGAGGTCATGAGCAGTTTTAATTTTTCCATGTTATATTTTCAAAATTTCTACAATTACCATCTATTATTTCATAATTAGAAAAAAAAATGTTTTAAAAATAGCTCCCGCAAAAGCCTCTCAAATTCCCAAACCACCTAGCAATACATTGAGAAACAAGAGTCTGAAGCCAAAGGAAATGAAGAAATAATATGTCCAAAGTCATAAAGTGATTTAAGAACAGACTCTGAGAAGAGTGGTGGGAAACACCAGGATCTCACCCATCTAGTGCAGAGTCAGGTTGGAAAACCCCAGAAGTCGTCTATGTTTTGATTATTTGTTTTCCTCCCACATTCTGATTGACAGATGAATATGAAACATGCCTATACCGTTCTCAGCAAGGGAAAGCCAGACTGGTATGATAGCCAGTCAGGGCTCATCCACAATGGAGTCCTTAGTGGGTCACTGGGCAGAGCCTCAGCAATAAGAGTGTTACTGTCAGGGCAGCCCCTCAAAGGACTGTGTCTCTACTACTGCAGTAGTATCCCCAGTTCTGGTGCCCATCTGTCTCTTCCATCCTTCCAAATGTTGCTCCTTTGGAAAGATGGACTTAACGTTTCTTGAGTGTAGTAATCGGGATTGCACTGCGGGTATCAGGAGGAGGGTTAGTGTTCACTCCGTTTGCAGCTCTTGGAGCGCAGAGGCCAAGTCAGCCTCCCTCAGGCCAGGGTTTCTGTTTGGGCAGAGGCTCTGTCCCAGAACCAGTCGTGGCAGCCAGGGGTGACGTCCGTCCCTCTCTCCTACAGGCCCCTTCAAGCCCTGCGAGCACCTCTTTGAGAGCTGGGGCATCCGCCTGGCCGTGTGGGCCATCGTGCTGCTCTCGGTGCTCTGTAACGGGCTGGTGCTGCTGACCGTGTTTGCCGGCGGGCCCATCCCCCTGTCCCCGGTCAAGTTTGTGGTAGGTGCGATCGCCGGCGCCAACACCTTGACGGGCATCTCCTGTGGCCTGCTGGCCTCCGTGGACGCCTTGACCTTTGGCCAGTTCGCCGAGTACGGAGCCCGCTGGGAGACGGGGCTGGGCTGCCGGGCCACGGGCTTCCTGGCCGTCCTGGGGTCCGAGGCGTCGGTGCTGCTGCTCACCCTGGCCGCCGTGCAGTGCAGCGTCTCCGTGTCGTGCGTGCGGGCCTACGGGAAGGCGCCCTCGCTGGGCAGTGTCCGAGCCGGGGCCCTGGGCTGCCTGTCGCTGGCAGCGCTGGCCGCGGCCCTGCCGCTTGCCTCGGTGGGCGAGTACGGGGCCTCCCCGCTCTGCCTGCCCTACGCCCCGCCCGAGGGCCAGCCGGCCGCCCTGGGCTTCGCCGTGGCCCTGGTCATGATGAACTCCTTCTGCTTCCTGGTGGTGGCCGGTGCCTACATCAAACTCTACTGTGACCTGCCGCGGGGCGACTTTGAGGCCGTGTGGGACTGTGCCATGGTGAGGCATGTGGCCTGGCTCATCTTCGCCGATGGGCTCCTCTACTGTCCCGTGGCCTTCCTCAGCTTTGCCTCCATGATGGGCCTCTTCCCTGTCACCCCCGAGGCCGTCAAGTCTGTCCTGCTTGTGGTGCTGCCGCTGCCTGCCTGCCTCAACCCCCTGCTCTACCTGCTCTTCAACCCCCACTTCAGGGATGACCTTCGGCGGCTCTGGCCCGGCCCAGGAGCTCCTGGGCCCCTGGCCTTCGCGGCTGCCAACGAGCTGGAGAAGAGCTCCTGCGATTCCACCCAGGCTCTGGTGGCCTTCTCTGATGTGGATCTCATTCTGGAAGCTTCTGAGGCTGGACGGCCCCCTGGGCTGGAGACCTATGGCTTCCCCTCAGTGACCTTCATCTCCTGTCAGCAGCCAGGGGGCCCCAGACTGGAGGGAAGCCATTTTATAGAGCCAGAGGGAACCCACTTTGGGAATCCACAACCCTCTGTGGATGGAGAACTGCTGCTGAAGGCGGAGGGAGCCACATCCTCAGGAGGAGGCTCGTCGGCGGGTGGGGGCTTCAGGCCCTTCGGCTCAGTCTTTGCTTCACACTTATAAAGTCCTTCCCCCTTCTTCTCTTTCCATCTCTTCCCTTCCTTCTCTCCCCACTTCCTCAATGATGGCTGCTTATAAAATAAATACAACCTAAACTCACCAGTGTGATCCACAGCAGGGCCTGGTTCTGTTGGTCTCCTCTCTCTGTGACCATCACCAGTGAGGGCTTCTTGGCCCAGTATCCCCTTGGCCCTCCTCATCTTCACCTTCATGCTGCCTCTTCCCTGTCAGGTCCAAAGCTGTGGACCAGAGACCTGGAAATTTGCTTAAGGGTAAGGAGTGAAATAAAAGACAGGGAAGGAGGTGGGGACCCGATAGGGCCAGGATCATGGCACAGTGGATACGGAGACACAACAGAAAAGGGGACCACCAAGGGCATTTGGCATCTGCCCTTTGACTTATGGATAGGATATAAAATGTGTTCTGTGCCCATTAATCTTGACATTTGCCATGAAAAAATACTTCCTACTAAAATGAGCTTTGGAAGAGATTACACATTGTGTCCCTTTCTTAGAGAACATGTTAATATAGTAAAAGCCCTAAAAACCTCTACAGCAGTAAAATCTATTGAACTCTGTTTAATCCCATTCTCCAATTCTTAGACAACAATTCTCTTTGATTGATTGGTTTTCATGGAATACCTGTTACTAGCTCACAGGATTTAGTACTGTCTGTACCATCTAGTGCTACCCAGTGACACCACAAAATCACATCACATCACTTTTTTTTTTTTTTTTGGCACTAGGGATTGAACCCAGGGGTACCTAATCACTACATCCCTAGTTCTATTTATTTTTTATTTTTAGACAGGATCTTGCTAAGTTGTTAGGGCCTCAATAAATTGCTGAGACTGATTTTGAATCTATGATCCTTCCTGCCTCAGTCTCCCCGAGTTGCTGGGATTACAAGTGTGTGCCACCACACCAAGTGTCATCACTTTTTGAAAGTCCCAAACCTGGGGTGAAGTCCCAGAGGCAACTGGTGATTCCATGAGCCAGGACAGACTCTTTGTACTCTACCTCCCAAGCTGCTTGTCTTACCTAGAGAAGGATGGGGAGAAACAGGCTGTCATAGTTACAGCTTCAGCCCCCTCAGGCAAGACGGAGGAAAAGGATCCTGTGTGTGCTTCCCCACCCCCTCCTACATCCAAGCTCCAGTGAAACTCCTGCCTCCAGCAAGAAGGAGGATTGTTAGATCCTAGCAAGGTATACACAAGGAACTGTGTAGCAGTCTGGGTTCTCTCTGGCTGTGAGTTGCCTTCCTATGGTCCTCCATCAGATGCACCCTGCCACCAACTGTCACAAGCCTGGTCTTCCCTTCTTATCCTTCTTATTCTGTCTTTCTGTGGGATAAGGATCCATTACCTAGCAGAGAGGAGGTTCCTACAATGCTTTTAGAAGCATGTGACTACCTGGGAGTCCTGGGTTCCCCAAATAAGCCAGACCTTTCTGCCTTTCCCCTCATGACTTTCTTATCTGTGGTTTCCCAAGTGCATCTGAAGATCTATAGAGTACCTCTCACCCCACATACACATTCAATCTCAAGGTGAGAGGGTAAGAACCTGGTACATTCTTACAAATATGAAAGCTAATTCTTGCAAACATAAAAAAGAATCCAAGACCCAGAAATGGGTGAGACTTTTTCCAGGGCACTCCAACATCAGTCAAACTCAAAGGACAGAGTCTGGAATCCTGAGACTGAATGAAACTCTGTTCTTTGAATTCTGTTGTGATCCCTAGCAGGACCTACCCACAGGACCTCCACGGTTAAGACAACCCTGAGAAAGCTCTTGAGTTTCACAGCTCAAGTTTCTGCAGCTTCGCTTGTCCTGTCTCCCTGCTGCTCCCAGTGCCTAGTGGGAACTCCAACATAGGTTCACAAGGTGTCTAGGCTGGGCTGGAGGGATGAGGCAAAGACCATATTTAACTTGACACATCTTAAAATATCATTTGACTAGTTGAGTTTCCTGGTTTCTTATAGGCTCCAAATGAATAAACTGACCTTATTATTCCTTAGGGTCCTACCAGGGGGTCAACTTTAGAGTAGTCACTCACTAAACTATGGTGCTGTCCCTAATTGCCCAGGGATGATCAAGAGTTTTCTTGATAGAGGGAGTTTGTTTTACTTTGGGTACTGAGAATTGGTAATTCTTAAAAGAGAAATGAGTTTTCTGATAACTTCATGGAAGACAACATGGGTATGATTTTGGAGAGCCTTCACTTCTAGAAAGTCAGCCTATTTCCCCTCTTCACCATAGGATTCCTGTTTCCCTTGGAGTTCGGGAGCCAGTCTTGAGTGGCTGTGTGTTAGAGGTTTGGGAGTTTTAGGGACTGTTCCCTACATGTGACTGCTTCTTTGGTAAAGGAGCCTGTGCTTTTTGGTCAGTGCTTTGACCTGTGGGCTAGGGTGGCACTGCTGTCCAACTTTACTGTCTGCTTCTAAAGATCTGGGCATCAGCCAAGGCTGGACAGAAGAGAGGTGTGTGGGAAGGGAGTGGAGCTGTTTCCCATAAACTCTTTTCTTCTTTTCTTTTCTTTACATTTCTTCCTGTTGTGATGTAAATGTGAGTTGTCCCCCCAAAGCTCAACATGGGAGACAATGCAGAAAAGTTTGGAGAAGAAATAGCCCTAATCTAATCAGTGAATTAGTCCCTGATGGGATTAACTGGGTGGTAACTAGAGGCAGGTGGAGTGTGGCTGGAGGAAGTGGTTCATTGGGGATGTGGCTATGGGGTATATATTTTGTATCTGGAGAGTGGAGTCT